CTGTGGATTCCTCAGGATTCCAGAAGACTCCTTTAAATTCCTAAGGGCTCGTCAAAAATTCCAGGGGATTCCTCATGAATTTAGGATTCCTAAGGATTCCTAGGGTCCTCAGGATTCCTGAGGATTCTTAGAAATTCCAAACATTCATCCTCTGCTTCTCCTCCTTCTCCTCCTCCTCCTCCTCTTCCTCTCCTCCTCCTCCTCTCTCCTCCTCCTCTCCTCCTCCTCGTCTCCTCCTCCTCCTCCTCAGGAGAAGGCCCAGAGGGGAAACCCCAGGTGACTTGGGCCCTGACAGGCCTTGGGCCCCGAGGGAAGGGGGGGGGCGCGGGAGGAGGAGGAGGAGGAGGAGGAGGAGGAGGAGGAGGAGGAGGAGGAGGAGGAGGAGGAGGAGGAGGAGGAGGGGGCAGGAGGAAGTTCGTGGGTGGAGGAGAGGAGGAGGAGGAGAATGATGATGATGAGGAGGAGGAGGAGGAGGAGGGCTCCTGGTGCCAGGTAACGCTTCCAGGGTGCGGAAGGGTTATCGATTTGCCGGAAGGGGGGGGGGGGTTCTTAAATGCTTCCTGCGGTTAGGCCGCCTTCCCCAGGCCGCACCCTGACTGATGGGTGTCCGTCTTCCTGGTTGCTCGACCTTCCACGTCCTCTCATCCTGTTCGTCCTGTCCTCCTGTTCGGGTCCCTCGGCAGTTTCACGGAGGCGGTGGTTGCGTGGCCACCAGATTCATCAAATGGGAAGAAAACCATGGGAAACACCATGGGAAAGCTCGAAGGACCAAAAAAGGCAATTTCGGGAGGCAAGGCTCCCCCGAACTCAAAGTTTGTTTGTGCTGTTTTGTTGTTTGTTCTTGTTCCAACACCATCCTGTGGTGTTGGGCCCTCGTTTTGAAGAGACAGCGCCCCCGTCTCCCTCCTCACTCCTCCTCCACCTACTCCCTCCTCCCATCCCTGCCTCTGCTCTTCGCGTGCCGTCATCATCATCAGCATCATCATCAGCGTCATCATCGTAATAATCAGCATCACCAGCATCAGCATCATCACCATCACCATCATCATCATCAGCATCATCATCATTATCATCATCGTCGTGATCGCCATCGTCATCGTCGCCCCTGTTCCGGCACACGCGCACATGTTTCGTGGCCCCATAGGGAGCTCCACCTAAGACTCAGTGGCACCGTTCGCATGTGGGCGTCACCCCCGTTTAGGCACTCCAGCTGAGGCGCCAGTGGCACCGATTGCATGTGGACGTCACTCCCGTTTCGGTACACCCCTCACACGTTTCGTGGCCCCATAGGGAGGTAAGCCTAAGGCCCCAGTGGCACCGTTTGCATGTGGGTGACCCCCCGTCTCGGCACACCCCTCACACAATTCTAGGCCCCACAGGGAGCTCCACCGAAGGCCCCAGTGGCGCAGCCCGCATGTATGTGGGCGACGCTCTCTTTTCCAGCACACCCCTCACACGTTTCGTGGCCCCGCAGGAAGCTCCACCTACGGTCCCAGAGGCGCAGCCCGCATTTGGGCGACATTCCCGTTTCGGCACGCCCCTCACACGTTTCGTGGCTCCACGGGGAGCTCCACCGAAGGCTTCAGCGGCACAGCCCGCATGCGGGCGTTGCCCCATAAGGAGTTTCACCTCAGATCGCACTCACAATTGTGGCACTCACACATGCATATGGTTGTGTCCCTCGCTAGGCTAATTTCAAGCGTTTTTGCAAGTTCGCTGATTTTGAAGGCGTTCGAGGAGGAGATGGAGGAGGAGTAGGAGGAGGAGGGAGAGGAGGAGGAGGAGGAGGAGGAGGAGGAGGAGGAAGAGGAGGAACAGGAGGGGGAGGGGGAGAGGAACAAGGACAAGAAAACGACCAGTTCATGTTTTGGTGGTTCGGGTGGTTTGGGGGTGCTGGTGGGGGCGACCATTTCTCTTTTTTGTTGTTGTTTTTCTCTCTCTCTCTCTCTCTCGTGCTTTAGGGTATAAATATAAGCATATATATATATACACACGCCGATGTATATGTGTATATTTGTATGTGCACACATACATACATCTAGGTGTGTGTGTGTGTGCATGGTTTGAAGGCCTCGGCCACAGCGCTGATTATACGACTCCTGGCTCCCTCATAACGTTACGCCCGATTCCTCCGTAGTGAGCACCCGGCACGTCCTCGGTAGTGTGGCCTCCATGTTTGAATTTGGGGAACTACCAATTTTTATGCAAGATTCGGACCGTTTTCGTGGGAACTACCCGTGGCAAAGCCGTGCTTGCGTCGGTCGACGGATCGACGCCGAGCGCGACTCCCAGTCCAACGCCAGCACCGACTCCAGATTGCTCAGCATTGCGACCACAATTACCGGCACATCCACCAGCGTGACCAGTTCGACGCGGGTGAGCGGGGCAAGCGACACGTCGTTGACGACGACCCCGGTAATGTCGCAGGCGCCTGCGCCAACACCGTCGCCAGCGCCGACGCCGACGCTGATGTCGGCGCCTACGATGGCACCATCGCCGGCGCCTGCGCCAACAGATTCGCCAGCACCGACGCCGACGCCGACGTCTTATCCATCTACAGGTCTCCAGCTCATCCGACAGGTGCGGGGGCTTCGAACTGTGAGGGCCTCTGCGTGTGTGCTGCGTCTAGCGAAGTAGATCCGAGGTGTCTTCCCCTCCCTCTTCCCTCCCCTTCCGTCCCTTTCCGTTTGGCGCCCCCAGTGGTCCTCTATGCACGTGTTTGATGTTTGAGGTGCTTTTTGTAGTTTTTTCGCGATCCAGCCCGCATTCGCTGGGCGACGCTCCGGACATGCATGTGTGGCGTCGGCTGCCCTCGCAGCCGCCTGACCGTTCGGTCAGCCGCGTTGTGTGGCTTCGGCCCGCCGCCACAATGTAACTCTCAATCACATCCACTTCACTTGACTAGTAACCTTGTGCTGTAGTTTTCTGGTGCCTCCCTCCCTGGCCCTCCTCTCCTCTCGTGCCTTCCCCGCTCTGTCGTGGTAGGAAGTTGGGCATTGTTCCTATCATTCGCGGCGTTGCGCTGCTCTCAACCTGAATCGCGCATTCCCTGTGCTCGTCGTCCGCGGTTGTGTATAGCCTATTGGTGCTTACGGTCGGTCTGACCTTCGTGGTAGCACACGCGCCGCGGCAAGCCACCATCCCTGGATTCTTTTGTTTTCCGCCGTCTTCCTTCCTCCCTGTTCTCCTCCACCCATGACGCCGATACGCTTCTGGGCAAATTCGTATCGCGCGCAACTGGCGGCTAATACTGCCTCCAGTCACGCACCTGTCTCACGGAGGCTTTATATTGTTCGTTGCGTGGCTGCCCTACGTAGGGAGGGAAACAAATTCCACAACTTTAACCTTTCAGTGTGTTGTGCCTGTGATGAAGGGTCACCGGCTCCACTGGCATTCATGGAGTGCTCGCTTGCGTGGTTGTTCATGGAGTTGGGGCTCTCTTGCGCTGGAAAAAAACATGTTTGAATTTGGGGCAAGACATTGCCAGCGCCGCACTGGTACCCATGCGTTCGTCCGTGCGCAATACTGGAGCAATCATACGAATGAAAGCATAATATTGCCATTTCAGGCGCACTGTAGTACTCACAGGCAGGTCGTGGTGCTCGCAGGCTTGCTGTCGTACTCGCAGGCAGCGGTGGTGCTCGAAGGCATGTGGTGGTGCTCTCAAACGTATTGTGGTGCTCACAGTCGTAGCTAACAGGGTGCTCGTAGGCAGCGTGGTGCTTCCAGGCATGATGTGGCGCTCGCAGGCTTTAATTACTCCCCGAAGGCATACAGTGGTGTTCACTGGCGTATCGTGGTCGTGCTCGCAAGCTTGTTGGTGCGCTCGCAGGCTACTCTGCTATCAGCAGGGTCTGGCACACCGTTGCGCATATTCTGGCGCTCGCGGCTTATTTTGCTGGCGACAGGGTCCGGCCTTCCTTATATATTGGTGGTCGCAAGTGCATGATGTTGCTGAAGTGCATGTTGTGACGTTCCGAGTATTTGTGGCGCTCCGATTCAAATCAACATGCATGCAGGGGTACTGCTGCAATCGCAGGCTATTGCCGTTGCTCGTTGCACTTGCGGTGCTACTGTGGCGCGCGCAGGTTTGGTTGCGCGTGCAGGCTGTTGTGCTCGCAAGCCACTGGCATCGGCAAGTCCATCGCCCCGTTGCACATATGATATTTCACGCCAGCCTTCGTGCACCTGGCTTGGTCCAGATTACCTCGACGTCGGGTGGTCGCAAGCACATTGTGGTGTTCACGACCGCCTGATGGTGCTTGCAGTCCTTTTGCTGCGCTCGCGGGCGACTGTGGTGCTGTCAGGGTCCGTCACAGTGCTGTGCAAACTCTGGCGCTCGCAGGTCTGATTGGTGAGGGCAGAGGCTGCTTTCTTCCCTCGCCATCCCGTGGTCGCGGGCAAACTCTGGCGCTCGCGGGCACTCCGCGGTGCTCGCGGGCAGGCCGCGGTGCTCGCAGGCTTTGGATGGACCCGGGAGCCTGGCGCCCCGGACCCCAGACCCAGAGCCCGGGAGGAGCTGGGGCCAGGGGCAGCGGTAGGGGGGGACAGGCATAGGGGGGGATGCATCCGATGGCCCCACCCCGCCCAGGACGGTGCGGATTCACGCTCGGAGGCCTATTCGCCGATCTGACGGTGAGGTATCGCCAGTTCCAGGTCGATGCACCCCCCCCTTATGCCAGGCCCCCCCTATCGTTGCCCCTCATGGGGCCCGGAGCGCGGGGCCAGAGGCCCAGGATATCGTGATGCGCTCGCAGGCTGCCGTGTGCGCGGGCATGCCGTGGCACTGGCCGGTGGCGGGTGGCTGCTGTGCCCGTCAGGGTCATCGCAGGCCCCCGTGGGCCTGTCGGCGTCCAGCCTCTCTCGTTGGGCTGGGGCTTCCGAGGATCATCCAGGGCCAGGGGGAGTGGCGGCGAGCCCCGAGGTACCGCTGGTGTGTCCGGGCCCAAGGTCAAGGCAGTGGGAGCAGTGACGAGGTGGGGCCGCATGCGCCGTGGAAGGTGGTTGATAAGCTCGGGGCCGACTTGTTGCTTCGGAAGAAGCACCCGATCGGCGTCCTCTGGCAGGAGCGCGTTGTTCTGCCCACCCTCGCCTTCTATGTCTCCGCCCCATCGTCCCACATACAGGGCGTTAGAGGAAATCCTTGTCACCGTACGAGGTGGCGCAGACGAGGAGGAAGGATGTGGGCCCCGAGTGTGTGTTCCGATTCCGAGGCTTCACGGCTCTTGTATACAATTCTGGCGCGTGCGGGAGCATTGTCAGGCCGCCTTGCGAATTCGAGTGGCCAGTGCGAATTTGGACGAAGTCAAGACGAAATTCAGCCGACATTACAAAGTAATCCGAAGCAAAGTCTCTCCAGATAAAGTCACTCTGGCCCTCGGCCCCGGATGTGCCTCGCTGGACGCTTTGCGAGGATTTGCGTCCCCGACGCCGACGAGCTTGTACCATGTCTGCGAAGCGAGATGGGGGGGAGGGGGCGGACAAGAGGGGTGGAGCTGATGCAGGACGAGCTCCCCTCTTCTGCCGCCAGGCCGTAGCACAGGCCTCAGCAGCAGGCCAGAGCGCAGCCATGAGTCCCGAGTCCGCCCTTCGGGGCCCGTCAGCAGCCGATCTCGATCATAAGATTAAGCTGATCCAACCTACTGTAACCTTGATCACAAGAAGAAATTTGGAGCGCCAGAAAAAAAACACAGAAATTCGAGGGTTTTCACGTGCGGGGCCCTGGGAGACACTCTTTCGACACTGTTTCGACACTCTTTCGATACTTTTCGGGGTGCTCGAAATCATTTCTGGGATGTGGCCCTTAAGTACGACGGGAGTAACATAATCATAAGATCGCACGTCACCCCCCAGGCGTCCGCGATCAGTCCAGGTGCCCTCGCCACTCCGGCAACGGGGGGGGAGGAGAGGAGGCAGGAGGGGGAGTGCGGGCAGGGATGGGCGGGCGGGAGGGAGGTCAGCAAGGAGACGGGGGAGAGGAGGCAAGACAGGGAGGGAGGGTAGACAGGGATGGAGGACAGCAGGCATAACAGCAAGGCAACGGAGGGAGGCATGGATACATATATATATATATATATATATGCATATATAGAGAGAGAGGGAGAGAGAGAGAGAGAGAGAGAAAGATCTATATATAGAGAGGGAGATGAAGGTACAGAGAGGAACGCAGAGGAGGGGAGGGGATGTGCAGAGGGGAGGTGAGGGAAATGGAGTGCCTGGGCGAGGGGTGAGGTGAAGGGAGTAAAGGGAGGGGAGAGATAGAGATGGAATGGTGCCGCGGGATGGTGACGGGGCATGCGAGGAGGATGGGGACGGCTCCTTCTACTCCTTCCTCCCGCTGCTCCCTCCGCTGAGGGACACTTCGGGCCGTCATAGAAAGGGGGCGTTATGTAATCTTTTGCATGCAGAGATTCGCGGCCTCGCCGCCGGGCGCTTTCCTCGATGCACCGGGCAGGCGCCGGAGAAGCCAGCTGCATGAGCTGGTTCGCTGACCCGCTGCTCAGGGGCAGCGACAGGGGTGGACTGGGACAGGGGGGGAAGCATCGACCCCCCATCGCCCACTCATCGCCAATCGGGGTCTTGACCAGCCCGCCCAGAGGAACGTTCGGCTTCGATGTCGGGCCCATCGCCGATCTATCGGCGATGCATCTCCACATTCACATCCGGTCTCGTTTCGCCTCGTCCCGAAGAAGACAGCATTGCATAAGCATACAGTCAACTCGCTGACATAAGGGCCACTACAGTTAACCCGCATAGGAAGGATGGGTAACCTTCCCAAGGGCACCCTTGCATCCTTACCTCCTCGATCCATCATTGGCCGCTTTAGCTGGCCGCGCCCCGCCCGCGAAGTGTCGACATGGTTTTCCAAGGCCCTTGCATCCTTATCGTGCGTCCTTATGACACAGGTCGACTGTATGGGCTCAGGATGGGCTCGGGTTTTGTGGCCGTGCTTTAAGTCTAGGTCGGAGATCCTGTTTGTAGCCGAGGCTCGCCGTGGCCATGAAAGCCCCTTCGTTTCTCGTTTGGTGTTCCTTCGTGAAGTGCCATGACTGTACACTTTCGGCCAGCGCTGTGATGACGATAACTAGGCACAGAAAACTAACGCTTGGACCGGCGCCAGGGGTCCCCGCCGCGCCTCGGGCGCCGCCCTTCTGCGCGCTCCGCGCGCCTGGAAATGTGGGGGGTCCAGCGCCGGTCATGGAAATCCGCGCGGATCTCCGAAGGTTTATGTCTATGCATTTTTTTGTTCCTCTAGAACCAAAGCTCGGGCTGGTTTGGGAGGTCGCCGCGGCGATCGCTGCGGCCACAGCTCGGGGCAAGGTTTTTGTCGCTGCGTGCCCCTCCCCGTCCGCCCCCCCGGCTCCGTGAGCGCTGTAGCGACAGAGAGCTGCCAACCCACGCCCTGCCTGGGCAGTCGTGCTTTCTTCGGGGGGGGGGGGGGTCTAACACGGGTCGGAGCGCGGAGCTCCGAGAGGTCACGCCTGCCTCGGGGGAGGAGGAGGACCTCTTCTTGTCTTCCTCCGGAGGTGGGCCCGGCTTTTGGGGGCCGAGGGGCCACCGAGGGTTTAGGGTTTAGGGTTTATCACCACCCACCAAACCACCCCAACCCAACCCGAAGGTCCAAATTTATCCTCGATTTCCAGTGGGGGGGGGTCGGGGAACGTTGAAAAAACACGTGGTATCCGTACCCCCCCCAACCCGAAATTCGGGTCAAATTCGGGTCTTCGGGTTGGGTTGGGGTGGTCTGGTAGGTAGTCAGTTTAGGGTTCACGGGCGGGGCGGCCGGCCCCAGCGGCTGGGCGCCAGCCCCGCCCCGACGTCCGGAGCTCCCCCGTCCGCGCCGCTGCACGCAGCGGCTACGATCAAGGGAGAGAGAGAAGCAGCCGGACCCTGGCAACTGGCGTTGACTGAACGGACCTGGGCGTTTACGGGACAGCCCTGCCCTGTTGAATTCCTTCCTTGGGTGCGTTTACTGAACGGCTTCGCGTGTCGGGGTGGTTATTCTCGGGGTGGATTTTGTGCCCTTTATCTGATGCTCCTACCCTCTTTAGCCTTGACTACCAGAAAGAAACTCGAGCACCAAGAAAGTATCACAACTGGAGGGCTTTTGCGTGTCGGGGCCTGGGAGGTGATACTCGTTGGACACTTCGCTAGCGTGCCGGGTAGACACTGCTTCGATACTTTCCGGGGTGTTCGAACTTCTGTCTGGGGAGTGCGCTTCCTAAGCACGAGGGGAACCACACAGCGCAGGGGTGATGTTCCGCCTGACTGCGGTGCGATAGCCGCGGCCCTGCGCGCTCGGGTTTGGCCTCGCCACGCCCCCGGAAGCCGCGTACCGAGGGCCGATCATGCCAGGTGCACGCTCCTGCGTGCCGCCGATCCTCGGCCCCAGGCCCCGCGCGACGGTTCTCTCAGGACGGCTTTGTTTAACGATGCGAGCCCAGAGCCCGTAGTGTCCGTTGAGAGGCGCCGCCCCCCACGACGGTACGGTATAGGTCTGTGTGTCGTGTCGTTTGGCGGCGACCCCGCCGCTGGCGTTCAGTGTTGAACGCCGCCGGCGACCAAGAACCGGTCGATGTTGAACGATCTGACGTTTTTTGAGAAACGGCCGATCGTTCAAGGTTGAACGATCCCCGCGGTGTCAGAAACCAACGCAGGGGTCGTCACGACACGAAACCGCCGTATTCTCACACTGTTTTCACAGGCATGCTGTGGTGTTGACAGGCATACGCTGGTGACCACAAGCGCTCGAGGCCTCATACATGGGGTTCGAAGAGATGGCGTCGGAGGATGGCGCCGCGTCGCCGATGCATCACCGATGCGGCTAGATGTGGAGCCCGATTTTCTCACGCCGACGGCGCTGACGCATCGCCGACGCATTGGCGATGCTGAGCGATCCTGGCCTCTAAGCATGCTGTCAGGTGAGCTAGCAATGCCATAGACATAACAATTCGGAGGTCCGCGCGGATTTCTCGGATCGGCGTTGGACCCTCCTTCCTGGCGCTCGGAGCGCGCCAGGGGCGGCGCTGGAGGCGCTGCCAGGGGGCCCCAGCGCCGATCCGAGGAATCTGCGCGGACCCCCGAGTCTGTATGTTTATGTCATTGCTTGTTCCCCTAGCATCATGCTTCGAAGCCCCCTGGATGGGGTTCAAGTAGATGGGGCCGGGTCCTCATATGGCGCTCTCAAGCCCGTGCTTTTCTCAGTACGCGTGTCAACGTTTCGCCCTTGCTGAGGCTAGCCGGGACTCGAATGGCAGCGGCGTGCGAACAGCAAGTGGACATGACACAATGCTGCGCACCTACGCTCCGCATCGCCGATGCATCGGCGATACATCGGTCTCGCATGGGCGGGGGGGTTAGAGAGGCAGTGGCCTCGGATGGACGCCAGCCGTGCACGCTCGCACCTATCTTCGGTCCAGGATCTGTGTCCGCTCGTCACGGTCGAAACCATACGAATCTCACCATGTGAGACATGCCAGAAAGGGCCTCGACTTCGATGATCGAATGAGTTGCCCTCTCTTCCTGGGCGGAAGGTGGCGGAAGGTCGGCGGAAGCCGGCGGAGGTAAAACGGGCTCTGAGACGAGCCGCGCGAGCGTTGCGATTGGACGGGAGCGTGTGGTACCATGGCAGGAGGTATACTCGAGCCACGGCAGCCGCTCTTCTCCCAGATTACCATCAATTCATGGCTCAGACTGCCCATGGACCTACTTCCTCCACCCCGTCGAGGTCGACACCCGCTCGACCCCTCCTGCACGAGACGGCCACCAGCGCCGCCAAGTACCATCAGCACCAGCGTCGCCGCGCCCATCGGGACCAGCAACTGATCAAGATTTGGACGCACAATTGCGAAAGCCTACTCAGAGCTGACCGCCTTGCCGAGATCCTTCGACTCGCAGGCAAAGCCAAAGTGGCCATCATTTGTCTACAGAGCACCCTGCTGGAACTCGCTATCCCTTGGACTACCGAAGGCTACAGAGTCATCCCGACGCCGCGCACGACTATAAGACCAGTAGAGATGGCTGTCTGATAGCATTCAACCTGCGTTTTTTCTCTTTGAGCGAGCTCCGCGTCACCCACACATGGATGGAGGGAAGACTACAGGGTATTCGTCTCACTCGTAAAGGCTCTACAGAACGTGATATCTACGTGATGAATGGCTACGCCCCGCTGAACGAGGTGAGCCACGCCAAGACCGGCGTCGTCCACCACGAGAAGGCGGCCCAGCATCGTCAGCTCCAGTCACAGTTCTGGGACACGTGCCACGCGGCCCTCCGTCAGATCCCCCAGCGAGTGACATTGCTCCTCACCCTGGACGCCAATGCCGCCATGTCCCCCTCACTGCCGTACGTCGGCTTCGCTGGACAGCGACGCCAGTTTGCAGCCACCAGCGCCAACGGCTCGCGCCTCCTGGAAGTCCTGGAGGACTTCCACATGACGGCCCTCAACACGTTCGGCAAGAGCACGCGCCAGAACGGCACCTGGAAGCACACGACTGGCAAAGGATGGACCACAATAGAGTACGTCTGCACCCGCCTGAACGGCTCCTACGGCATCAGAGCGGCCCCTCTGAGGACAATTCTTGTTAGCATGGGAGGCTACCGCGACCACCGACCCGTCGAAACCCTCGTGTATGCTGGACTTAGAGCTAAGCGGGCTGCCGACCCCCGACCTGACCGATGGAACCGCGAGGCCATGGTAAGCGACTTGCAAGACCTGAAAGGACCCAGATGCGGCCGTCCCAGCCCACGTCGCACAGATGCGGGCCACTCTGGGCAACCGCCTACGAGAGCAACAGCTCACAGGCCGCTGGCAGGAAGAATGCGGCGAGATGCTCTGTTACGCCACGCCCCCGGAGTACTTCAACGCCATCGAGCACACGGTCATTGAGGCAGCGGCCCCGGACTACGTCCTGCAGCCCACGCAGACCCAGCGCCCCGAGCTGACGGACGCCACCCTGGCCCTGATCGCAAACAAGCACGCCATCCAGAAGCGCATGGCCTACTGCTCCGACCCGTCGTCGCCCCGCGCTGTCTACCTCCAGGCCCTGCACGACGAGGCGGCCAAGCGTGCCGCCAAGGCTGTCCGAGCTGAGCGACGACAGCGCTTGGCGTCCACGGCTGCAGAGGCGGAGGCGGCAGATGCGAACATGAACCTGCGCGAGCTCCACAGCGTCACACGCCGTCTTGCTCCAAAGCCCGCGGCCCCAGTCATCACGGTCACCAGCCCGACTACGGGCGGTGCATGCATGGGCGCGGAGGAGGAGATTGTTGTCCGTGGAGAGGTTTTCTGCAACATCTTTGGTGGCACCCAGATCAACATGGACAGCCCAGGAGGCCCCATCGGCATCCCCCCGAGGGACGACGCCCGCATAGGCACATACACAGTCGATGACGTGACCAGGGCCATTGCCAAAATGCCTAACTACAAGAGCGCTCCTGTCCTCAAGTTGCCATCGCTGGTCACGACTGGAGACCTCACCGCCACTGGTACCAAACCGACCTTCGAGGCAGACGGGTCCGTCATCGAGCTGTGGAAGCTATGTGCTGCTGAGACGGCTCCAGTACTCCACGGCGCTTTCCAGGCGTGCCAGGCCCTCGGCCACGCGGCTCAGCGCTTTAAAGATGTCGAGACTGTCTCCCTACGCAAGCCGAAGGGTGACGGCAAGAACGCCAAGGACCACTACAGGACCATCAACCTCATCAACCACATTGGCAAGGTTTACATGAACGTCACCGCGATGCCGCCCCTCCGCAACCTGGCGAGCAAGCTCTCTTACGCGCAGTTCGGCGCGCTGGCAGGCCGCTCTACGAGGGACGCTATCGCGATCGTGGCCGAAGTTATCCGACGCTACCGGCTCCACGGCCGCGCACCCAGGCTCGGCTCTACGACGGTCCCAGGCATGCTCATGGCAGTCATGATCGACCTGGAAAAGGCCTTCGACTTAATTGACCGTGATGACATATGGCAGGCCCTCGAAGCCCTTGCTGCACGACGAGAAGTGCGTCTGACAGTGGAGGAGCTCCACGAGGGCACATGCTACATTGCCAGGGGCATCCGCACCAACCGCCCCGCCCGCAAGCTACTCATCCCACGCGGAGTGCGCCAGGGTAGTGTGGAGGGCCCTATATTGTTCGTTGCTGTCTATGACCCTCTCACTCGTAGGCTCGGGCAGAGCCGGCATGACTTCGAGTTCCCAGAGATCACCGTCATCTTCGACCCCTCCCTTCGCAACCTTCGTCACAGTCACGGGCTGTCGGGAGGAGAAGGTGAGGAGGCGCTCAAGGTGTCCCCTGTCAAATTCGTTGACGACCTGATTGCCCTCACTATCGTTGAAGCGTTCGATGCGGTCTCTCGGTTCCTGGAGTTCCTCAAAGCGGAAATCACCAAGGGCAAGATGAAGGTAACTGACGCCAAAACGGAAATGTTGATCGTCACGACTGGCAAGCATAGCAGAAGCAGACGAGCCACGATCCGATCGAAGCGAACGGACATTCGAATGCAGCAGACCCCAGTCCATGCCACGCCCAGTGTGATGTACCCAGGCACCAAGCAGCGCGACGATGGCAGCATGGCGGAGGAGGTTACTTACAGAATTCAAGGAGCCGATGCAGCACACGCACGCCTTGCACGTCGAGCCTTCAAGGGTCACTTTAGTGTACGTCTTCGAGTTAGGCTGTGGTGCTCCCTGGTCCGTTCGACAGCCCTGTACGGCCTTGAGGCGGCAGTCCTGAGTGAGAGAGACCTCAACCGCATAGAGCACTGGCAGACTCGTAAGCTACGCTACTTGGCACGCTCTCCTGCCCGTGTCCATCACGCGAGTAATGCTGAAGTAAGGCGTACAACGCGAGTCCCGGCAGTGGCGTCTACGTTGCTTGAGCGGCGCCTAGCGCGGTGGCAGGGAGTCCTACGCCCCGCGCTCCCCGACTTACAGCAGAAAGAGCAGCCCGAGGACTCCGTGCAGGACCCTGAGGACCCCGAGGCCCAGCGCGACCCCGCGAAGCTGATTCGGGCGGTAGTCTTCGGCAGGTTTAACTTCGAGGGGCCCAAGCACAAGGAAATCAATTCGCTGCCCGGCGTACTCCAGAAGGACCTCAGGAAGCTTTGGGAGGTCACCGCCCCAGAAGCCCAACAGCAGGCCCGTGCGGAGCACGAACTTGAGGACCCTGAACCAGTACCCTCTCGCCCTTGGCTCCGCTGGCTCAGTCAGGCCCCATCGAGCCCGCCCCGGAGGGGTGCGAAGTAATGCGACGGAGGACGAAGCGAAGATAGCTGCCGGCGAAGGCCCCCCGCCTGAGACCCTGCTCCAGCGCCCCCTGTGTGCTCGGACGTGTCAAGGACCCAAGGGGCTCGACAACCATTTGTTTAGCGTTCACGGCAAGTATGCGAACCCCGCGGACCTCGCAGAGGACCAGCTGCGAGCCCTGAAGTGCCCCCACTGCTTGATCAAGTTCAGTCGCAAGGATACCCTGGTCCGCCACTATCGCTTGCAGCGCTGTCGTGCCCCGCCGACGCCCACCTCGGCTCAAGCGAGTGAGCCAGCGGGGCCCGAACCACCAGGACCTACCCCTCCCGCCCCGCGGCAAGAGTCGGACGCCCATGTGGGGCCTCAAGAGCGCGAAGCAGTGGAAGAAGCCGAAGATCGACCTGGCCCTCCCCGAGGATACGGCCGAGTTGGACGCAAACGACAAGCTCCAGACCCTCAGGTGCCGCCTGAAGCTCCTCCACGAAGCCGCCCAACAGCTGCTCGCCCGAGACGACAACTTCACGCTGGCGGTGGCGGAGGGATCGGAGCAGGAGAAGACTCTGGAGCACAGCTACCAGACCACAGTGACCACACCCGCGCGCGGGATTCCTCACGGACTGCAGTATGTCACGACCCTCTGGATGATCGTCCTTCACAAGGCCGAGGAGCTGCAGATCGTGGAAGATCCCGCTCCACACGACCAGGTGGAGCAGCCAGCCAAGGTGCCCGTCTCGACCCAGATCGACACGATAGTCACCAAGGTCGTCCGCAGCCACCAGAAGGTGAGCCTGGACATGGTCGCGGACGCTCTCAATAATTTCATGGGCACTCCAGCTGCGAGCCTCGCCGACGGCACCAGCTACCGCATCGAGAATAACCAAGTACGCTGGATCTGGGCACCGACCATCCACATCGATCTCAAGTACGCTCTGACGGCGGCGCGCGTACACGAGGACACTCCCGAGCTCTCCATCCAGCAGCTCCTCCCCCTGAAGCAGGACGACGAGCTCGCGGGGCCGCTCGCCGCCGAAGCGACCACCAAAAAGCCCAAGACCGAGTAGAGGCACAAAATCCTGGGCCTGCCAGGTTCGCCGTCGCCACAGTTTTGCCAGCCAGACGGGCTCGCCTCCAGCAAGCCCAGCCATCGATCGTTGAAATATTCAAGCGCCAGCGCACTTTACCAGCGCTGATTGGCCTACAGCACCACCACTTACGACCTCTCGTGCAAAATCACCATAGTGAATGCGTGCGGCCGAGGGCAGACACGGATGCTACCTCGACGTGCTGGGGGGCTATAGGGTAGAACTCGTTCGTCGCTTTGCTCATGGGTGTTCAGTGAATCCCCGCCCGCTGCCGCCGCCACTGCCCTCGCCCTCCTCCTCCCTCGTGGGCCCGTCCCGTCCCCGTCTCTGAGCTTTGAAAAGTTTTTGGGTGGAGTGGCCCCCGAGACCCCTGAGGGGGTCGAGGGGCCGCTCTCGCAGTGCCGGCTCCGCATGGGGCGGGGGCGCGTGAGGGCGGGGCCAGGGCTTCTCTTGTCCTGTACTCGCGCCCCTCGTCTCGGGCCCCCTCGTCTGAAACATCGTATTTTAGATGCGCCGATTTTGGTAGGTTTTGACTTTGGCCCCTCACGAAGCGTCCGTCCCGAAGGTAGTTGGGCGCAGTGCCATGAAAAAGAAGGAGGTAAAACGAGGGCAGTTCCGCTGGCGGAAGCCAGCGGAAGCAAAGATGCGCCCCCAGGACAAGACAACAACGTGCGACGTCTGTTTATGGATGTTTGAAATGTGTCCTTTTGCCCGCTCCTCGCTCTTCTCGCCCTCTCTCTCTCTCTCTCTCTCTCTCTTTCTTATTGTGATGATTATCCTTATGTGATCATTACTCTTTTTTCTTATTATTATTCTTCCTAGGCCTGTGCGCTCTTGCACATGTCGCCGAGTTTTGTTTAACTCACTCTGCCCACGCGTCCGCCAGGGATGCACGGCCGCAGTCAGTCAGAAGCCTCCCAGGACACGAAGCCAGGTCACGGGCGCCCGTAAAGCTTACGGGATGCTCGCCACTCGAGTCCTCCTCAGTTACCAACGCGTGGCGGGCCGATCTGCTTCCCACCAGTAGGGTCTCCCAGAACACGCTCCCAGGTCGCGAACGAGCTCGGGGGCGAACCAAGGGGGAAGTGAAAAGTGGCGGGCCTTCTCAGAAGGCTCGAAAGGCCGGCCTTCTGGGAAGTTTTCTGGGCCTTTTTCCGAAGGCACAGACAGCTTCTTGGAAGGCCGGAGGGTTTCTAAGAAGCCCCCGCGGCCTTCTGAGAAGGCCTGTTCCTTCTCACTTCCCACCGGGCGCGCAGCCGAGAAGCGGATGTGGGGAGCGTGTCGACGAATGTTGGCAGGAGTTCATGTCCGTTTTGGAGAGGGCTCAGCAGTTCCTTTCCGTTTTGAGCAGGGATCGCTGCCAGTATCGCCGCGGACGTTGTCCACCTGAGACGCCAATCGCCTGCCCAGCAGCGGCGTTGCTGCTGGGAGCCTTTGCCCATTTTTGCCCCACCCCGTCCAGGCGCGCTACTCTACGCTTTCCCGGCCGAGCCGGGAGGGCCTACACTCAATCCGCACAGCACGGATGATTGACTTCCCGAGGGTACCTTTGCATCCTCGGTCTCTTCGGTCCTCTTCGGCCCATCCTCGACCACTCTCAGGGGGCCACATGCGAAACCTACCCCTACCCCCCACGATTTCTGAGGGGGAGGGTGGGGTTCACTTCGTTCGGGAGCTCTCGAGCGAAGTGACCCCCCCCCCTCAGAAATCGTGGGGGGTAGGGGTAGGGCTCGCATGTGGCCCCCTGACTCCCGATAGCCAGCCCCGCTCGGAGAGCCTCGGCACGGGCGCCCAAGGCCCCTGCATCCCTACCGCCGCACCCCTGCCATGCGGGTGGACCGTACGCGCACGGCTCCTGGGCCTCGGCTCGGGCCAGAGGCGCGTTGCTGGCGCCCTCCCGATCTCCGCCACCCCCGGGCCTCCGGGCGGCAGGCTCGCCTCGGCGCCCGGGGCCCTCGGAGGCCTGCTCCGGGCCCGAGGGCCCGCCGAAGACTACACGGCCAAGCCCGTGAGGTAAGGACCGCTCTGGGCTCAGGCAGGGGCTCAGGCTTGCGGGCCGCTCCTCTGGCACCAGGTCGGGGAAGGTTTTCGTGGCCGAGGTTTGCCGTGGCCAGTCGAGCACCTTCGGTTCTTCTCTCCCGTTCCCCATTCGGGGGAGCGTAAGACCCGGGTTTGCCAGGACTCGGGTTCGCCATCGTTTTTTGACGACCGCGATTCGGATTTTGACGAGGAGGAGTTTCGTGGGATGTCTGCAGCGGGAGGCCTCGTCAAAATGCAGGCTCGGCCTCGTCATTTTTTTGACGACCTCGTCGGGGATTTCCGAGTCCCCCGTACCCGGGTCTTACGTCTCCCCGACCCATGGTAGCAGGATGGCTGTACCTTCCGCGCGAGATCCCTGCCAGATGTCGGTAAAAAAGCTACGTACGGGAATTCGCGTTGAGAAGCTCGGGGCGTCGGAGGCTCAGGCCCACCCCGAGTTTGCCCTGCTGCATCGAGCCCTGCACTCCAGAAGAGAGCGCGCACGCGAGGAGCAGAAAGGGAGCCCGCTCTTGGCTCCGGACGCAGCAGCGGCTGCTATGCCACCATGCCAGCATCCATGGAGTTATGGGCTATATTCGGCGGCACCACGGCATACAAATACAATGTGTGCGTCGCACCGAGACATCGTGTAGTATACACGTCCTGGCGGGTGCTTTCTGGCCACACCTCTCGGGAAACGATACGCTCAAGACGGGTATCCTATATGTTCGGGTCGGACGCGCACCTCCAAGGATGACATATAGTACTGGTCTGTCTCTGTGCGTCTTATATCTGCCCCCCCAAACCTCAGCGTCGCCCTCCAGGATACATCCTGGATGGTTTCTCCGAGACGCTTAGGCGGCCCGTCCTCCTCTTCCTCCTTCTCCTCCTCCTCCTCCTACTTCTCCTCCTCCTCCTCCTCTCCTCCTCCTCATCCTCCTCCTCCATCTCCTCCTCCCCCTCCTCCCCCTCCTCCTCCTCCTCCTCCTCCTCCTCCTCCTCCTCCTCCGTTTCCTCCTCCCCCTCCTCCTTCCCCTCCTCGCCCTCCCCTCCTCGGGTCGCCTACGGCCCCAGGGGAAACCGTCCACCGGAGGCCCAGCGTCATCCTCCAGGCTACCTCCGCCGAGGGGAGATGGCCTCCGATCTGGGTGGTGGTCCAAGAGGCCAGTCGATTGTGCCGACACCAATCATCGAAGGTCAGCCCCCTCGGAGGACTCGCGCCCTTCCCCCCCCCATAATCTGGTGTCTAGGTATTGGCCTCCCCCTCGGTCCTCCTCGATCCTCCTCCTCCCTCCTCCTCGATCCTCCTCGTCCCCCTCCTCCTCCTCCTCCTCCTCCTCCTCCTCCTCCTCCTCCTCCTCCTCCTCCTCCTAGGAGCTGCTATGGCTCAGCAGGAGCTTCTACCACACCTGCCACACCGTACATCCCATGGGTGGAGGTCAATAGTATGCGGGGCGGTATGCCTAGGCTGGCCTGCTGTTCCTACCCTTCCTTACTTCCACCCGCAGGTCTCCTTTTCATCATGGTGCAGCGTGTTCTCGCTCATAAGGTGGAATGGAAAGATCACACCCGAATGGAGGAGATATCGACCCTCACGCCGACGGTAGACGTATTGATGCTCAATGGCACGGGGCGCGCCGCCATGAAAGACGAGGACGTGTTAAAGACAAATATGCCGAACCACACGTGCATTCAATATGGTCCTCGTAACTCAAGATGGTCAAATCGTTCATGTGGACAAGCAGTAGGTTTCAGCTCGGCGCTGAAAGGCACCCTCCAGCAGACGCAGTTTCCACCTCGCTCCAGAGGCATCGCTGGGCGCATCGCCATGGCAAAATTTCGCATCGGAGCCAGTACGGTCGCGTTCTTTCTCGTGTACTTGTCGCCCGAAGGGACCATACCATCCATTCGAGAGGAGGCCGTGGACAAATGCATGACTCGGTTCACAGAGACCGTCGACAAACTCGTTCACCAGCGTCTCGTCATCATGGGGGCGATTTTAATTGTTTGTTTGGCATATGGCGGGACGACACAGGACGAACTGAATATTATCGAGCTGATCATATTGTAGGGCTGAAGAACCCTGGCATGAGAACTACAGTATCCCAGCTCGTACGGGACACCGTAAAAGAAAACCACATGACATTGGCCACTAGTTTCTGGGACACAGGGCCATCCTACGTCAACGGCATTGCCAGCAGCAAGATCGACCATCACACTTTACCGACAGAGTCCCTGGAGCGCAAAATAATTATAAAGACGTTACGACAGCTAGGTCGGCGACTACAGCGCAGAGCCACGACCCTACCACAAGACCATGTACCGTTGCTTCCTGAGCTGGATGTTAAAAAAGATGGCACACAAGGGCTCGCAACACCACGTGGTCAATCGTAGCTCTATCATGGGCGCCGACGTGCACGGCCACCTGCGTATCAACTGCCTGAAGGAGCTCGAAAAGAACACGGCATTGATCCCAGAGGACACTTGGAGAGAAATCTGGGACCGTGGTGATGTGCAGGCTGGCTGGGATCTACTTAGGGCATGCATCCAGAAACATTTAGTTCAAGATTTTCCGCCTGGCGAGCAAACATCTGAACAGTATGAACACAGGAGGAAAGAGATAATTGACCTCACAAAGCAGCGCGCAGCACTACGGGAGCAGATGGGACTAGATGGCAGCAGCGCATATGACCAGAACGACTCACATCAGTCCAAATACGACGGAGTGCGCAAGCGCATCGGCACTATTACACGAGAGCTCCAAGAGGCACGACGATGGCATACTCGTGAACGGCAAGCAGATACAGCTGAACAGTTACAGCGTGCATGGAAGCGTCGCGACTGGACACTCGTGAACCGGCTGGGGACATCACTCTCTGTCACGGGACGAGGACAAAAGAACCGTTTCGTATGGACCACAGCGCTGTGCCTGAGGTCTCGTTTCTTTGCCTCTAGAGTGTTTGCAGCCTACGCTTAGGCGTTCAGGGTGGATTTAGCTTTGTCCGTCAGGATCGAGCTGCACCACTTTTCTCGCCCAGGACGGTCTCGTCTCCGCCCAGCCTGGACTTCTTCGGCCAGGATTCCTGCACTCTGGGACATGTGAGCGCGGCGACATCGCACGGTGACGTAGCATAACGTTCAGTGTCTCACACATGTATGTCGTACTTAGCACGGCGCAGTGAGCACGCGATGCGCATAATTATCTGCTGATTGTGCCCTGAGGATGTACCTACATATCTGAACGCAGGTTGGGAGGGTTGAGCCTAGCGTGTCGCCCTCTCGTTTTGCTCGAATTCGGAGGTTTGAGACGGTCTAGGGCCGACGAGGGGCCCAAGGCTTTTTAGGCCCCCACGGGCTCCCTCAGGCGCCCTACCGCTTCGCCCATTGACAGTACTAGCAGCAACGCAGGACGCCGACAGGCGCCCAATCTTCCCAGGCCCGTGCCCCGCGCATCGAAGCCGAACTGCTGCCGAGGTCGCTCGCTCGCTCGCTCGCTCGCTCGCTCGCTCCTCCTCCTCCTCCTCCTCCTCTTCCCTCCTCCTCCTCCTTCTCCTCCTCCTCCCCTTCCTCCTGCTCCTCCTCCTCCTCCATCTCCTCCTCCCCCTCCCCCTCCTCCACCTCCTCCTCCTCCTCTTCCTCCTCCTCCTCCTCCTCCTCCTCCTCCTCCTCCTTCTCCTCTTCCTCCTCCTGCTCCTCCTCCTCCTCTTCCTCCTCCCCCTCGGGTCGCCTACGGCCCCAGGGGAAACCGTGCAGCCGTGCCCGCCCGCCCGCGCGCGAGCAAGTGCCTCTGTTTCTCTCTCGCTCTCCCTCGCTCTCTCACACTCTCTCTCTCTCTCTCTCTCTTTCTCTCTTTCTCGGGCAGGCTATGCAGGAATACTTCAAGGCTTCGAACCCCGAGATGGTGTTCTATGACCGGGAGGATACCCGATTCCGAGCGCTGGGCTGCCGCGCCCGATCATCTCTGGCCCAGCGTCGGCCATCTGACAATGCAGCGACGCTTGCAGGTGGCATCAGGGTTCCATGTCGCACGCAGCGAAGGGTAAACGGTGGAACGCGCAGGGGTGGAAAGACAGCGGGATGGGCGAGTCGTATGAGCGGTGAAAGTTGGAGCGGCAAAGGGGGGATGACGGCGAAGGGGATCGAATGATGAGTCATGGAAATTGTTCTCGTTTCGCGTATCCCCACCAGCTCGTTCAGAAACCCTGCCCATGAGAGCTGACGGGGAAACGGGCGAAGAGAGACACGCAGAGGGACAAAGCCGGCGACCATGAAGAACAGAGAGATTTCTGGGAGCAAGGGGGTGGCCTTGGCGGATTCCTGGAGAATGGGGACGAGGGGAGGGGAAGGAGTAGGAGGAGGGTGGGGGAGGAGGAGGGGGAGGAGGAGGAGGAGGAGGAGGAGGAGGAAAGGAGGAGGAGGAGGAGGCACACCGCCTCTTGGGGCCCTCGTGGGACACTCTTGGGGCTGTCTTGGAGCCTTCTTGGGGCCCCTCTTGGGGCGCTCTTCTTCGGCCATCTTGGGATAATCTTGAGGCCTGCAAAGCGCATCGGAAGCGAAAAGGCGAGAAGACACAAAGCCGTGCTTGTCATATGGTAGAAGGATTCGGGCCACTTGGAGTGGGTCCTGAGGTGGCTTCGGGAGCACTTGGAGCTGCCTTGCGGTCCTCGTCGGGCTTCTTGGAGGCATGTCGGAAGCTCTGTTACTTTCATATTCGGCTATCTTGAGGCGCCTCCGAGGCCATCTTTTAGCATCGAAAGCCCGCTTGGAGCCATCTTGGGCCATCTTGGGCGGCCTGACCCTCGCGCCCCCCGTCGAAACACCTCGGGGAGGGGAGGGGGAGTGAACCCCTCCCCGAACGGAAGTGGGGCTCTGGAAGAGAGAAAGAACTTGTTTGACCACCTAAGCTCAACAGGCTGGTGAGATGACAGGCAGGTTGAGGGGGATGAGGAGACGCACGGCATGGCGTGATAACGCGCTTGGATCACAGTAGGCTCATGATGTTGAGGGCAGTGCCAGATGCTCTTCACCCTCGTGCCATCAGTATCATCATGATTTTATCATCATTGGATGCCGCACCATCATCACCATCATCATCATCATCAGCATCATCATCAGCAGCATCAGCATCATCATCACCACCACCATCATCATATCATCATCAGCTCTAATGCAGTGCGCGCACTGGCAGGCACTCCCACGCACGGCGCTTGTGTGGACAACCTCAGCCCCAGTGATCCTCAGACGTACCTCAAGGGCGTGTCAGTCGAATTCACAGGTTGCAGATCGAGGCACGTAGCCGATTGCGGTACATGGTGCACATGGTACAAGCACGCCCCAACCAGGGCCTACCCCAGGTCAGGCTCGGCGGGGTTGTGGCCGAGGGTGACGCCGGAGCGGGGGTGCTATCAATATCAAGCAGAGGTGGGAGACGGGCACCGACATGCCACTGCCCTGGAGATTGCTCTGAGGGAGTTGCCCCCCCCCCTCCAAGGGCTACGACTCACACGGTTTCGAGGCACCGGTGTCGGGTGGCGCCCAGGATCCCATCGTGAACACGGTGGACAATTTCGACAAGTTGCGCCTCCCTCCAGGCCACCCAGGGCGGTCACCGTCCGCGGCTTACTCGGCCTCACAGTCGCCCGTACGCGCGCCAGCACGACACAGTGGTCACGCAGCGATGCAGTTTGCCGTTTGCCCTTTCCCCGCATGCTGCTCGGCCGTTCCTGTCATATGCACGTCTAACTGTTAGTCAGTAAGCGTTCTTTCTTTCGCCCTCGTCGCCCACGTTGCTGCAGATTTGAGCTTCCATTTGCAGCAGTTGTCTCGGGTTTTCAGTGGGTTTGTGGCTTATAGCGTTGCCGGTTTGGCCCCGTGCTTCAATTTACACTGGCCAGTTTTCGGCCACAGTGTCGTCCTGGCGGCCAGCTTACGTGATCGAAGACGCCTACGGCGAGCCACCGCCGCACCCTGTCTTTTTGGAAGCGCTCGTGAGGCCGAACGTTGGGCTGAAGTCTGGCCAGGCGATTGGACTACGTGTCCCCCCAGTCGTTGCGGACCCACTTTGGGGAGCACTTTGGAGAAGCCGAGAAAGAAGGATGAGAGGGAGCAGCAGGAGGACGATGAGGATGAGGATGAGGAGGAGGAGGAGGAGGAGGAGGAGGAGGAAAGGAGGAGGAGGGGAGGAGCAGGAGGAGGAGGAGGAGGAGGAGGAGGAGGAGGAGGAGGAGGAGGAGGAGGAGGAAGGAGGAGGAGGAAGAGCAGGGAGGAGGAGAAAACAGAGGCCTGTTGAGGCTATCTTGTGGCTTCCTGGGAGCATCTTGGGGGCCTCTGACGGACCTCTTGGGGTCCTTCTGGGGCCTCTTGTGGGGCCTTCTGGGGCCTCGTGGGGGCCTCGTGGGGGCCTCCTGGAGCCTCTTGGGCCCTTGGGGGCCTCCTCGGGCCTCTTGGGGGCCTCTGTGGCGACTTCTGGGGGCCTCGAAGGGACCTCCTGACCTTCTGAGGCCGTCTTCGGGACGGGACCTGTACAGGCAGTCGGGGGTCCTTCTTTGGTCTCTCTAGGTCGGGCCCTCCTGGCTGCCTCCCTAGCCGTCTTGGGGCGGTCTCTGGGCCGGCCTGGAGCGTCGGAGGCCAGAACAGCCATCGAAACACCCTATAGGGCCATCAATGCTTTCGGCCTCCGGGAGGTCCTCTTGGAGCCCTGCTGTAGCGTCTCGGGGGGCTCCCTGGCCATCTGGAAGGCATCTTGGGCCGTCGTGGGGCAGTCTGGGCCGTTCGGAGGCGTGTCAGGACCGTTTGGGGGGCCATCTTGGGCCATCTCGGCCGTCTTGGCTGCCTTGGTTTTGGTCTTGTGGATTTTGAGCTCTTTCCGCGCGGCCAGCGGGGCCCCTCGAGATCCCACGGGACTTTCCGGAAGGACCAAATCATCGAACGTTTGGCACGCCAGGCACCCCATTGATACGTCAAGAGGGGGCGGAGGATCGAAGACGCCTGAGGCGAATCGCCGCCGCCCGCTGCCTTTGGAAACGGCCATGCGGCCTACGGTTGGTCCGAAGGCTCTGCCCAAGCTATTGGACGATGTGTTCCCCCAGCCGTTGCGGAACCCCTTGGTAGAACACCTGAAAGAGTAAGAGAATGAATGGATGGTGAGAGGGAGCAGAACGAGGACGAGGAGGAGGAGGACGAGGAGGAGGAGGAGGAGGAGGTGTAGGAGGAGGAGGAGACGGAGACATCCTGAGGCTGCCTTTTGGCCTCCTGGGGGCCTCCTGGAGGCCTCATGGGTCTCTTGGGCTGCTTGGGCATTCTTCATGCAGAGGAGGCGGGCATGCTGAGATCATGCCAGATCTTGATGGTTTGGGGCGACGTTTTGTTGCTTGGGCCGGCCCCCCCAAGGCCTCGAACACGACCCGGGACGGGCCCGGGGGGCCACCTGTCAGCGATTACAAAGGCTCCTCCTCCTCCCCCCCTCCTCCTCCTCCTCCTCCCTCCTCCTTCCTCCTCCTCCCTCCTCCTCCTCCTCCTCTCCTCCTCCTCCTCCTCCTCCTCCTCCTCCTCCTCCTCCTCCTCCTCCTCCTCCTCCTCCTCCTCCTCCTCCCCCTCCCCCTCCCCCTTCCCCTCCCCCTCCCCCTCCCTCACTCCTCCCTCCTTCCTCCTCCCTCCTCCCTGTATGGTTACGCCGGGGCGTGGTTTGCGATCGGCACCGTTGGGGCATGGGGGGCACGACACCTTCCTCGTCGGGCCTCCCTCCTCGGGGCGCGGGAGAACTCTATCGAGGTCCCCGCGCGCCCCCTACATAGGGTGCCCCCCAGGATGTTCCACAGGGTGCCGGTTGCAAACCACACCCTTGGCAAACCACACCCTCTCGAGTCGCCGAACCTGAAGCAGCGTTTGGATCCCAATCGCGCTCCTGGGGCCTCTCCCGTAGACGCGCTAACGGCAATGTAGGTAACGGCGATGTTGGTTTCGGCATTGTAGGTGGGACTGGTTCGTGGCCAAACCAGTTGTAGGACGTGGTGGTTCGCGCTTTCCTGCAATTCTCTGCGTCGTTTTCGCTTGATACATTCACACATACAAAAAGTAGTAAAGTATGCTTCGTGATTTCCTACAATTTGTTCTGCGCGAGCTCGGTGTCACAAAAACCAGATTCCCAACATTTGGCGTTAACCAACATCGCCGTTAGCGCGGCCTTGGCTCTCGTTCAGTCGCGCGAGAGTGCACAGGAGCACCCAGACATTCCTGGAACTTGGGGGTCTTGGGGACCCATTGTAGTTCTGAGAAGCCTTGCGGCCCTAAGACTGCCCAGGAGCAGCGACAAATGGCCCTACATCCCGCAGAGCAACACGCTTCATCACATGACTTTGCTGTGCTGTGCGGGGCTTTATTTCCCAACCCTCCTGTGTTGGGTATTCGTTTTGAAAAGAGCACTGCGGTCCCCACCTCCTCCTCCTCCTTTCTCCCTCCATTCTCCTCCTCCTCCTCGTGTTCCTCCTCCTCCTCCCTGCCTCGTGACCTCGCCGTCCTCTGGGGGGCTGCGATGTGCGAAACTGTCGCCGCTTTCGTGGATTTCTGAGAAGCCCAGCGGAGGTACGTCCCACGCAGATCACCACGAGACCTCGCCGTCCCCTGGGGGGCTTGCGATCTGCGAAACTGTCGCCACGTTTGTGGGCTTCTTGGAGGACCAGCGGAGGTACGTCCCACGCAGATCACCACGAGACCTCGCCGTCCCCTGGGGGGCTGATCTGCGAAACCGTCGCCACGTTCTTGGGCTTCTGGGTGGGCCAGCGGAGGTACGTCCCACGCAGATCACCACTAGTAACCCGAGTAAGCGATTAAGGACCCCCCCCCCTCCCCCTCTCCGGTGAAAGGATAACGCACCCGGCACCCGGAAGCGTTATCCTGGCACCAGGAGGGGGTACACCAGATCGCACGGGTCCCACGGAGTCCCGCAGGTCTCGCAGGTCTCGCAGGTCCTACAGGTTTCCTTATTCGTATTCGTATTCTTATTCTCATTACAATTCTAATTGGGATGCCACCCGAGGCGGGGCGCTGGAATTATTTATTTTCCTTCCATTTGCGCGGTGCTAATAATATCGCTCGGCGAAAACCCCCCCAAATAATTATTTAATTACGGCGCGGTGCTAATGATAACGCCGGGGGGGTCCTTAATTGCTTCTCCGGGTTACGTCCCACGCAGATCACCACTAGACCTCGCCGTCCCCTGGGGGGGGGGCTTGCGATCTGCGAAACTGTCGCCACGTTTGTGGGCTTCTGGGTGGCCCACCGGAAGTACGTACGTCATGCGCAGATCACCATGGGACCTCGCCGTCCCCTTGGGGGCTGCGGTTTGCGAAACCGTCGCCACCTTCGTGGGCTTCGGAGAAGCCCAGCGGAGGTACGTCCCACGCAGATCACCACGAGACCTCGCCGTCCCCGGGGGGGGGTGCGATGTGCGAAACTGTCGCCACCTTCGTGGGCTTCTGGGTGGCCCAGCGGAGGTACGTCATGCGCAGATCACCGCGAGACCTCGTCGCCCCCCTTGGGGGGGCTGCGATTTGCGAAACTGACGCCACTTTCGTGGGCTTCGGAGAAGGCCAGCGGAGGTACGTCCCATGCAGATCACCACAAGGCCTCGTCGCCTCTTGGGGGGCTGTGATCTGCGAGACTGTCGCCCCTTTCGTGGGCCTATGGGAGGCCCAGCGGAGGTACGTCATGCGCAGATCACCACGAGACCTCGCCGTTTCCTGGGGGGGCTTGCGATCTGCGAAACCGTCGCCGCTTTCGTGGGCTTCTGGGAGGGCCAGCGGAGGGACGTCCAATGCAGATCACCACGACCTCGCCGTCCCCTGGGGGGCTGCGATTTGCGTCTGGGTGGGGCAGCGGAGGTACGTCCCACGCAGATCATCACGAGACCTCGCCGCCCCCTTGGGGGCTGCGATTTTCGAAACTGACGCCACCGCCGTGGGCTTCTGAGAAGGCCAGCGGAGGTACGTCCTACGCAGATCACCACGAGACCTCGTCACCTCCTTGGGGGCTGCGATGTTCTAAGCTGTAGCCTCTTTCGTGGGCTCCTGGGAGGTCCAGCGGAGGGGTGTCCCACTGTTGCCACCATGAGACGCTCGCTGCGTTGTTGATCGCAGATCGCAGCGGGATGGGGAGGCACGGAGCGCATGGCGCTGTTCTGTGCCCATGCCGCATCGACTCTTCAGTTGCCTTTTGTCCGTAGTGCACCCGGGCACTTGCAGCGCTTAGCGCAGGGCGCTTTTCTGTCATAGCACACATGGCGCTGTTCTGCAATGAGAACCTAGCGCGATGCGCTGTTACTCCCGCGATGCATGTCTCCTATTCCCCCTTCATCCGTTTATTCCCACGCCCTCTCGTGGTCGCCTTCCTGCCAACGATCTGACTCTTAAGAGTGATGCCGCGAATGTGAAACAATTGTCTCTTGCCAGACGTTTTTTTGGCGAAGCGTTCAAGAGCACGGCGGATCCTCCAGTGCTTGCTTTTGTATTGAGCGGTCCAGTGCATAGTCGCCCCATGTGTACAAAGGGTTGGGTACGTCCCCGGGTAGTTATGTTTTGCATATCGTGCTTGATTCGATTTGGTCGTGCATGCCATTCGAGTTGGTGCGCGTGCGTGGCTCTGCGGGCGTTCGTTTGTTGTTTCCGCTGGTCGACAGGTGTATCACACATCGGCGGCTCTCAGTAGCCCAGCCCAGTGTGGCACATACTTCGACAGTATTACGCTGTTTCGAATTTGTCACCATTACTGGTGCTGGGATTGATTATGGTAGAGTTGTGACGTTATGAATTGCTTTTGCTGCTATTAAGGACCTCACATGCGCGCGTGCGCGCGTGTCTGAGTGCGCGTGTGTGTGTGTGTGTGTGTGTGTGTGTGTGAGTGAGTGAGTGAGTGAGTGTGTGTGTGTATGTGTTTGTATATGTGTCTGTGGTTGTGCTTGTGTTTGTGTATGTGTTTGATCGGTCAGGAACGTGTGCTTGGTGCGTCTCGCCACCAGTTCTGGTCCACCACGCTTCGGCCCGACACACTAAGCACGTCCGAAATCCCAATAATCAACGCTACGAGCTTTCCCCAGCCTCCCCTCCCACGAAGCAGAGCGACACGCTATCAGCTTGCAAGCGCAGCATCAGCTGTAAGCGTTGCTCCTGCGGGCAGTCGCCGTCTGGCCGTCCGCACTCGGGGACTCGTTCAGGATTTTCGTGGTTGTGCGTGCTGGACGCGTCTGCCTGCCACCGAGGTCCGACACCTACTACGTGAACAAGGATACGGTGCTGCGAACACACACGTCGGCGCACCAGTGCAAACACATGGCGGAGTTTCCCGAGGTCGGCTGGCGCGGGGCGAGACGTGGTGCACGGGCGTGCGAGGAGCGAGGAGGGGGGGCGGATATGCCGCACGCTGCGCGTCCACGTCGCTGCTGCCGTCGCTCTGGCTCGCGAACAGGACCTATACAGATCCACTGCCAGCCAGGCCCGTCCTCGGCCCAGGAATGGTGTGTATATATTCCTGTTCCTATATTTTTGCAAGCCCAGGCGGGTGGAACCCCCGTCCCCCCCCCCAAAAAAATACCCTGGCGACGTACCCACCCCCTGCGCAAACGCGGTGCGCAAATAGTTTGGGACACTTTATAAGGGGGGCGATGACGGAGCGAGGGTTACATATGTCTGCAGACGGAATTCGGGAGACTCGCAGGACATTGGCTACAGAACAAGGACTAGATAAAGCTGACTTGCTACAATCCCTGAGCAACCCTCGCCACTTCGAAAGCGGGGATCTCAGATCGCAGCCCCCAAGGGATGGCGAGGTCTAATTTGGGTCCGCGCGTGGCGTCACTGTGCTGGGCCCCCAGCAGGCCTCGAACGTGGCGACAGCTTCACAGATCGCAGCCCCCCCGGGATGGCGAGGTCTGATTTGGGTCCAGGTGCCCGCGGCCGTGCCAGCAGCGTCCATCGGGCAGCGCCAGCGGTCGCCCACTCCCGCTGCGCGGCTCCCCCGCGAGGCGCTCGTCCCGCCTCTCGACACTTCCGGCGCACCTGTTCGGTGCCTTCCCCTTCCGCCTCTCTTCCTGCGCCGCGCGGTGCTACCCCCCCCCCCGCCCGCCAGTGTCTTCCACTTGGCGCTTCTGCTGCCCCGGGCGCCACTCCGATTTCGGTACCTGGCCCACCCGCCGCACGTGCCTCCCAGTCATTCGTGGCGGCCCCCCACCCGCTGCTCCGCATGGGCCGACTCTGGCCACCGCCCTGCGGGCGCCTCGTTGGCCGTCCCTGGCGAGCTGGTTTTGCCGCTCGCCCCCGGCTCCCGCGCACCCCTTTTCCTGCGCTCCGCCATGCGCGCGGCTGCCGCCCCGGCGCAGCCCCCCCTTCTGGGAGGAGGCCCCTGCTTCGCCGCTGCTTCCCCTGCCCCGGCAGGAAGGGTCGCCGGCCTTCCGCAGGTTTGAGACCGGCTTTCGCCTGTGGCCTCCTTCCCCCGCCGCCCCGGGGCTCCGCGGCGCCATCGCCGTTCCTCCGGGCCTCTCCCTTGCCTTCTGGGTGCATGGCTGTCCTCGGCCTCCGCCCCCGCCGCCCCCCTTGGCATGGTTTTCAGGCCGAGCTGGCGAGCCCTTCACCGGCGTCGTCGGTCTTCGGCCTCCCCTTTGCTGCTCCTCTTCCGCCCTGCCCCCTCGGCCCCTCGCCTTCTGGGGCGGCCGTCGGCCAGCCTCCCGCGGGGCGCCTCGCAGGTCCCATGGATCTCGGTGCCCCCGCCGGCCTTGCTTCCTCTCGCTCCGCCGCGCTGGGTTCCTTCCCCAGCGCCCCCCAGCCCCCCTTCCTGGGGTGGTCTTTTCCGGATGCCGACCGGTCGCCTGGAGGTCGCTCTGACCTCAGCACAGCGGCCGCCCCGCTGCGCTGCCCGTCTCCAGCTCGCGCTGGACCTGCCGCCCCCACCGCCTGGCTCGGCCGCCTCCTGGCTCCCGCCCTCCCCGGCTACCTCGCGGCCGCTGCTTCCCTGGCGCTCCAGCGCCCCGCCCGCCGCGGCCTGGCCCTGCTCTGAGCGGGCCGGGTTTTTTCCTCCCGCCCGCGCCAGGCCTTCCCTTCCATTCCTCCCTGCCGGAATTGCGGCCTAATTTGCATTTGCATGCCCTGCATATTCTCATCCCGCCAGCGCAGTCACTCTGCCTGGCCGCCGATTTAAAAAGTGTGTGTATGTGTGCGTTTAGCACCTTTACCTGCTGCCCGCGCCTGAGGTTCCTCGGCGCCGCCGACTGACATGTGTGTGCGCGTGTGCCGATGCGCCTGGCCTCGGCGATTCTGCCCGCGCGTTGCGAATGAGTTTTGTTCGTGGGGCCGCTGCCGACGACCGTGGGTAACGACGGCGACGAGTTGCTCGATGTTGCCTGCCCTTGCGCCCAGGCCTGGCGCCGACCCCAACGGACCTGACGTGAGGGGAGTGCTGCGCGTAGCCTGCCCTGACGCAAGCTCTTATCTGGACCCCTGACACCAGCAGTGTGACCGACTGAGCCTGGAGTCTGCGCGCGGACCCGAGGACACCCTCGGCCGCCTCTGGCCCATGCCGCGCCAGCCGACGGGGCCGTCTGGCAGCTCGGGAAGCCTTGGATGTTGTGACCTGACTGGCATGCGCAGAAAACGCTGCAGCCCCACTGGCGAGTACGCGCCGTGCAATAATTGCTTGCCTCCCCCGCCTGTTGCCTTGACCCCGCGCTCCCTGAAGTCAGCCTCTCGTCTTGGCACGCGTCTCCTGTCGCTGGTTTGCTGCCCCCGCCTCGCTTGTCGTTTCGGTGCCCCCCCCCCCCCCTGTCAGCTCGCCCTATAAACAGCACGCGCGCGCCGCATGGCAACGGGCATCCTCGCACTTGCTCGCCTGCAATTCGCAGCGGCTGGGAGGTGCGTTGGCACTTGCATCGTGCTGCGATTATTTCGGTGCCGTTTTGGTAGCCGTGAGATCTAGCAGAGGGAGCACTTGTTGAATTCCGCAGTCTTGCCTACGGCTGGTGGTAGTTGGTCTTGGTGTGCTGAGACGAATTGGGCCCAATGTTCAAGCGAGTCGTTCCCAGTGCCCTGCCATTCTCGCGCAGCCGAAGCGGCCAGTGAGCACGCTCCAACCGTGCATGATAGTCCTTGTGGATAATTCCTGAACGTTCAGCTTCAATCCAAGAAAACACTTGGTTGTCGATGGTGAATTCATAGAAGATCATGTCGACATTATGTTTGCAGTTTTCAGATGTTGACGAATGATGGCTTTCACTGGGCCGAGGCGAAGCACATGTGTGTAGCGGGCCGCAGGTTTGCAATTGGATTGTCCATGTCAGACCACGCGGCGTACCAACACATTTCCCCACGCAGATTTGGAAAGCGCGTCATTAGATCACCCTGTAATTGAAAAAGGGGAGGTGTGCTCGCACCCCCCCCCCCCCCCCCCCCCCCCCGCTTCAAAGGGGGGGGTGAGATTTGCGACCCCCCCCCCCCCTTCTCCCCTTAGGGGGAGGGGGGGGGGGTCGGGGCCCCGCTCCCCCCCTACCCCCCTTGGCGCTGGAAAGGGGGTGGGGGTTCGACCCGCCCCCCCCTTCTCCCCTTTGCGCCGAACATGGGGCCGGGGAGGGGGCCTCTCCCGCAAGGGGGGGGGTTGGCCTCAGGATAGTGAGTAGTGAGTAGCGAGTAGTGATTAGTGAGTAGTGAGTAGATAGTTGCGAGTAGTGAGGAGTGAGTAGTGAGTAGTGAGTAGCGGGTAGTGTGCAGTTACTCGTGAGTAGAGAGTGGTGAGCAGTGAGTAGTGGGCAGTGGGCGGGGAGTATGTAGTGAGTAGTGAGTAGCGAGTAGGGAGTTGCGAGTAGTGAGTAGGGAATAGCGAGTAGGGCACTGTGAGCAGTGAGTAGCGCGGAGGGAGTAGTCAGTAGTGAGTAGTGAGCAGGGTGAGTAGCGAGTTGGGTGTAGGGAGTAGTAAGTAGAGAGTAGTGAGTAGGAAGTAGGGAGTGGTGAGTAGTGAGAAGTGAGAACTGGGTAGTGAGTAGCGGGTAGTGCGTAGGGGGAAGCGGGTACAGAGTAGTGGGTAGTGAGTCGTGAGTAGTGAGTATTGAGTAGTGAATAGTGCATAGTGGGTCGTGAGTAGTGAACAGTGAGTAGTGAGAAGTGAGTAGTGAGTCGTGAGTACTGAGTAGTGCGTACTGGGTAGTGAATATTGCGTATCGGGTAGCGAGTAGGGAATAGCGAGTAGTTGGTAGCGAGTAGTGAGCAGTGAGTACTGTGTAAGGAGTAGAGCAGCGGATAGAAGCAGTGAGTTGTGAGCAGTGAGTAGTGAGTAGTGAGTTGTGAGTACTCAGTACTGAGGAGTGGGTAGTGGCTAGTGGTACTGAGTAGTGATTTGTAAGTAGTGGGTAGTGAGTAGTGTTTAGTGAGTAGTGATTAATGAGTAGTGGGTCGTGAATAGTGAATCGTGTGTAGAGAGTTGGGGGTAGTGAGTTGTGAGCAGTGAGTAGTGAGTAGTTGGTCATGGGTAGTGAGGTGTGGATCGTGAGTAGTGAGGTCTTGAGTAGTGAGCAGTGCGTAGTGAGAAGTTAGTAGTGAGTAGAGAGTAGCGGGTAGTGGGTAATGAGTCGTGAATAGTGAGCACTGAGTGTTGTTTGGGGCTGGGGTTAGGGTTCGGGGTTCGGGGTTCGGCTTACGGGTGGTCGGGGTGGTAGCGTTCGGGGTGGTGGGGGTCGGGTTCCGGAGGCCGAAAGGGGGGAAGGGGGGGGGGGTCGGCCCCCCTCCCTTTTGAAAGGGGGGGGGGTCCCCGACGACGGACCGGGAAAGGGAGGGAAGGGGGGGGGGGTCCGCGACGACTAGACCGGGAAAGGGGGGGAGGGCGGGGGGTCCCGACGACGGATCGGAGAAAGGGTGGGGGGGGGTCCTAGGCCCCCCACCTCCCTGGGGGAGATCCAGCGGCGCGCCCTCACAGATTTGCTTATCGGAGTCCTAGCTCAATGCGTAGAGATCCGGGCCAGTGATGTCCTCACTCTATTTTTCTCTCGCACGGTCAAACTGTTGCAATGGATTTCTGTGCTATTGCAATGGCGTCCCAACCATATTGTAGCTATCGTCACACTCAGAAGTTGAGAACTGCAAATCCGTAGAAATTTCGGCTCAAGTGGCTGTGCCACAGCCGCGGCTGAAGGTGCCTGAGTCCCCTGTCGCGCGCGATCGGGCCTGGCCTTATATTGAGGGCGCTGCACGGCTTCCAGGCAAGCCCGAGTGGCTGTTTGTGGCGGGATGTCTTTGTCCTACTTCCTCGCGATGGGACAGCAAGACTGCTTCTTCACTTTTGTCGTTCGGATATGCGTCTCCTTAAGCTTCTGTTCTCTGGTGGCACTCGTATGGCTTGCCTGGGACGATTCTGTAGCGTCGCTGTACGCACTGAGGAAGGTCTTCCAATCGCCTGCCTCACCGCCTCGTCCTTGCACGTCCTTCGATAACAGAATCTCGAATGCTTTGGACAAGGCAAGGGTGGCACGATTGCAGTATATGGCGGACTCGTTGCTGATACCCATTTCGGTGGTTATGTTTGTGCCGTTAGCGATGTTCTTCTTGTATATCGCGGATGCCTCCGAACCGAGTGTTGTTTTCAAGGCGGTGATCATGTGCTTGCGCCATTTCGCAACGCTATACTGGAAGTGCTTGAGATGTTCATCAGGTTTTTCCGTCGCGGACATAGAGTACATGTTCAGTTTCTGGATGTCGTTCATTGCGGTGCGAACGTACTTTGAACAGTCACACGTGTTGTTCCTCATGTACGGCGGTTTCTGGAGCGCGGCACGAGTGCTTCTCGCGGTCTCGCTACTTGATTGCAGGATGTCGGTGAGGTGGAACATTTTTCTTTCTACAGTGACGTGCTTTTGTTCCTGGGAGCGGCGCGAGCAGCTACGCATCGACGGACACTCTTCCATGGGCGCGTTCGTCCACCAATGTATTGTTGAAACGAGTACTTGTGTATTGATCTGTTTTGCCTCAGCATTCTTGGAGGCTTGCGAGAAGGACCGCGTCAAGGCGTCCGTGGAGTCCAGCCAGTCTGGCAGGGCGTATCAGGCAGCTCAAACATTGCTCGGTGTATTCTGCGACGCCCAGCTGCGCATCTGCCCACAATGTAACATCATCGCCCATTCCCCACACCTGCTGCACTTGCTGGGCTCAGGAGGCACGAGGAACACGCTTCATGGATGCAGCTTCCTTCAGTATTTGCCAGAGCCCGACAAGCAGCGCTTCCAGGATTTCATCTCTGGGGCGACGGTGTTGCAGCAGCGCTCTCAGGACTTCTCGTCCAAGCACACCGCTGCCTCAATAGCCGAGGGGCCGAGCTTGGGCGATTTCTCCATGGGCCACGCTACCTCCACCCAGGTGTCCCTGCAAAGGGAGGGCGTGGCGCACCCGATGCCGGTGGAGCTGTTCCTGATCAACATCGCCGACGTCCAGGATGCCCCCGAATTTCTGATGGGGATCCGGGAGACCTGCGAGGCGCTGCCGCGGGAGGCCTGCACGGATGCCCCTGGTGCCGATGCGCTGCGGCAGCCAGCGGCGGCCCCCACGGCGCGCGGGCCAGATCCCGAAGCGGGCCAAGGCGGCGCCGTGCATTCCCCGAGGGCAAAGGCCGCGGGGGCGGCGCAGGCGCCGGCCCAGCAGCAGGCGCCGCCTCAGACTCTGGCCGCTGGCGATGGCCAGCGGCCGCTGGGTGCGCTGGCGCAGCGGCCCGTCCACAGCGTCGGCCGGAGGTCCCGCAGCTCCATCTCGTCGTCCTCGAGGGCCTCCTCCTCGTCCGCTGGGAGCGGCGCGCTGGACGCGGGCCGCATCTCGTCCGTCTGCCTGCGGCTGAACTTCAGGAGCAGGGGCCTGCGCGTCGAGGACATGCTGCTGCGCTTCGAGGGCGGTCGCCGGTCGCCCCTCCTGAAGGATTGGCTTCCGAAGGAGACCGTGGATGCGGTCCGCAGGAGTAGCCAGGATCTCATGAATCAGAGGGAGTACAGGCCCGCTGATGAGGAGTTAGTGGCGGGCGTCGGTGCTGGTACGGTGCGGTTTTCCAGTGGCGGGTCTACGTTCCTGCTGGCGGAGCGCGCAGAGCTTGCGGTCGATGGCTACTTCACTGACCCGCGTGACTCAAGCGAGGAATCTGATTATATCAGCCCGTTCATATTCATGTACCTGTCTGGAGTGTCGAAGCTTCGCGTGCCTTGGCAGAGCGGGCCGCAGAGGGTATCGAAAAGGCTGGACCCGATCGACGAGTCACCAACGGATGTGGCGTATGATGGCGACGCGCCGACACTCAGACGGAGAACCAATGAGGGGACTGGAGAGGGCTGCAAGGAGAGAGGGTGCCCAAAGCGTTCGGGGGAACACGTTCGCGCATGAAGATTAGAGGCGGGGGTTGGCCGCTGACATCGAGGCCTCATGCGGACTCTGGGTCTTTCCATGCAGGTGTTCAGATCTAGCTGTATTTCAATAGTGGGTCATGACGCCTTATCGCTTCTCGCGCTTCTCGAGTCCGTCGCAAGCGATGCGTACTCCTCCCCCTCTCGTCTCTTTCCTCCCGCCCTTGCCTCCCCGTGGCGAAACGCCGGCTAGCCCTGCTGGGGTTGGCCTGCTTTCTGCCACCTCTTCCTGTCTCGTCCTCGCTCCCCCCCGCATTCGGCCACCCAGAGCTCCGGATGTGGACCGCGGATTCCTGATAGTCGGCGAAGCGTGCGGCGGGAATTCAAGTCTCGGTCTGCCCCTCCCCCTTCCTCCCTCCTTTCGACCTCGCCTGTGTGCTGGTGTGCTGGTGGCGGCATGGAGGTACCCCGAATAGTTTTCCTCTTCGCTCTGGACGCTGTGTGGGCGGCCGACTGGCCTGCCACCACACGGCCTCCTTGGTTTTAGTGGCGATGCGATTATAGAAAGGTGTCGGCGTTTTCTCGGCCATGGAGCTTGGGCTCAGGCTTTCAGCCAGTGTCGCTTATCCGCCCCTCCTCTCCCCGCCGTCCGCCGTCTCCTCGCCGTCTGCCGTCTCCTCCTGTCCTGGTCTCCGTCCTCTGCCGCCCGTCCGCCCTCGAAACGACGTTGAGTCCTGCCGCTCCTCCCTCGGCACGCTCGGCGTGGACGGTGGTAGAGGATCCCTCCTCGGTGCATTCGGTGCCGCAGTTTGAACGAGTGGCATGTATCTTTCGTCGATTCGCTGCAGGGTCTTCTTCACTGAGTTGTTGCTTCGTGGGGAGAATATTTGCCCTCGCTGAGAACACATAGCTTGCGCGCAGATTCTGATCCTAGGCAACAGAAATAGAAGTAGAGTGGTGCAAAGAAGAGTTGCGCAGAGCAGCGTCGATCAGGGTCGAGAAGAGCAGACGAGGGCAGCAGTGCAGAACCCGAGCATACCAGGATGGGGCACAGCAGAGAGGAGAGCAGCGCAGTGTGTAGAGGGGAGCAGGGTCGGCGTCGAGCGAGTCAGGGGGCCCTGCCCCCTCCCAGCCTTCCTCCCGCAGCATGTTCATCAAGTGTGGCAGCATCTGAGATTGGGATTGGCGCTCGCCCCCACCCTGCAAGCGGAGCGCGCTCGCGCGCGGCCCCTCTCCCGACTGCCTGGCGACGACTGAACACCGCGCGGGTCGCGCAACGGGAGCGGCCAAACTGCCGATGGATGCGGCGAGGACGAGGCAGTGCCGACTCCAGGTCTGTTCCTGTCACTCCTCCTCCTCCTCCTCCTCCTCCTCCTCCTGCTCCTCCCCCTCCCCCTCCTCCTCCTCCCCCTCCTCCTCCTGCTCCTCCCCCTCCTCCTCCTCCCCCCCTCCTCCTCCTCCTCCTCCTCCTCCTCCCCCTCCTCCTCCTCCTCCTCCCCCTCCTCCTCCCCATCCTCCTCCTCCCTCCCCCTCTCCTCCCCATCCTCCTCCTCCCACTCCTCCTCCCCCTCCTCCTCCTCCTCCTCCTCCTCCTCCCCCTCCTCCTCCTCGCCATCTGCGCGGTGCTGGACGAGGTCGGCACTCTTCGCCCGCGCTGGCGCAGCCCCTCTGCCGCTGTCGCGTCCTGTGCGCTTCGGCGAACGGACCATGCTCAGGAGGGGAACAAAAAAACACGCAGACACAATCGGTCGTTGATTCCCCAGAACATATGGGGGCATATGGGAAGTGGGGGGGAAGTCAGAGGCCCAGAACCTATGGGCAAGTACAGGGAATCCTGTCACTCGTGTGTATTCATTTGCGTGTCCTGGGGTCCCTTCACGTGCGCCGCGCCCGCGCTGGAACGCCACTCCCGACCCAACGGCGCATGGGGCACGGGCGAGGGCAACCAGTCGCCCCCCTTGCGCCCCCCCCCCCAAAAAAAACACGGCGAGGGACACCTGTGCGCCGCGCAGAGGTGTGACCGCCACTTCCAGACGAAAGCTGCGCGGCGTCGAGGCGAGAACGGCAGCTTCGTCCGCGCGCGTGCGTCGACGGAGCTGCGTGCGGAAGATGTACGCCGCGCCCGGGCGGTGGCACACTTCTTCAGAGCAGCAGACGCGGTGCCGAGGCGATATGGACATTTCGGCCTTTCGCGCGGGATGTGCGCCCCGTCCCGCCCATGCCGCACGGTCTGCAGCAAGGGAGGCAGAACGTCAGTGCCGAGACGGCACCTGCTACTGTCGTGAAGTCTGTCTTGGCGGCCAGGGGTGGGGCTTCCAGGAAGGGGCCCTCGTCGGCCGACAGAGGCCCTGGGTTTGAGGATACGAGCACAGTGGGAGTATTGCATGGTAGAGCAGGGTGGGTCAGGGTACGGTAGGTTCGCGTCGTGTCGACGGCGTTCAACGTTGAACGCCGGCGGCGACCCAGAATCGGTCGATGTTGAACGATTGGACGTTGCGGGAACGGCCGATCGTTTAAGGTTGAACGATCCACGCGGTGTCAGAAACCAACGCCAGGGTCGTCACGACGCGAACCTCCCGTAGGGTAGCATAGGGTGGGGTAGCGCAGGGTAGGGTAGAGAACACCAGAGTCGAGCGGAGTAGGATGACGGTAGAGCAGAGCCCGGTATACGGGATCATCTTAGAGTAGAGTAGAGCCGAGTCGAGTCGAGTAGTATAGAGTAGGGCAGGTTTGAGTAGAACAGAGTAGACCAAAGTAGACGGGAGTAGAGTAGAGTCGAGCAGGAATAGCGCAGGGTAGAGCAGGCGTGCCGTAGTGCGGTAGAGTGTATATTTGAGTAGGGTTGGGCAGGGTCGAGTAGAGTAGGGTAGGATAGAGCAAAGTCGAGTAGAGTCGTAGAGTAGGGTAGATGGTAGCGTCGAGTCGAGCATAATAGGGCAGGGTCGAATAGATGAGGGTAGGGCAGAGTATAGTAGAGTAGAGGGGTCGTAGACCAGAGTCGAGTATAATAGGAGTAGGAACAGAGTTGATCAGGAGTATAATAGCGTATCGCCGATATTCGTAGAGAAGAGTCGAGTGCAGTAGAGTGATCGCGGCCAGAATAGCGCAGAGCAGGAGTAGCATAGGAGTAGAGTAGAGTAGAACAGAGTAGGCTCGGACATGCTGCGGATTGGCAGGGCAGGAGTTGGGTAGAGTAGAGCATAGTAGAACAGAGCTGGGCAGATATTAGAGTAGAATCGGGCATCATAGAGTAGAGTGGAGATGAGTATAGTGGAGTAGAGTCCACGCCAGTCTAGTCCAGTCTACTCCTGGTCAGTCTACCCACTTCAGTCCGCTCCAGACCACTTTAAGTTTTGTTTTCTGATATGATTGGAGTTTTCGCTGTCTGTTAGATGGGATGAGGATTTGCACGAGCAATCGATTCCTAGGTCTCCTGTGATGAGCATTCGTTGTTTGATCACAGAGCGTTGCCGCGTCCGTCCTCGCCCGCTCCCCTCCCTCTTCTCCCCTCGCTTCAACCCCTCCTGACCCCTTGCGGGGGTATGGGGGAGGGGAACACGCGTCCCGGAAAGGAAAGACGGTGCCGTCTTGGAAGAACAGGCTCTGGACGCCAAGCGGGCTGGTGCGATCGCTATTGCTGGTCCTCTAGTCGGTAGTCGGGGCACGCTGTCCAATTGAAATCATATACCACGGTGCTTTGCGGCCGAAGGTCACGTCCTTCTTGTGCGCTGGTGATGTGTACCGCCGCGACGAGATCGATGCCTCTCACTACCCCGTCTTCCACCAGTGCGAGGATAGGGAGGGGAGGCGAGTCAGTAGCACGTCACATAGATGTGCGATCGTGAGTTGAGAACAATTGTACATCATGGGCTTCGGATGCCCCAGTCGGTGCCTTCGGCATCTCACTCATCGGGCTCCATCAGTGTAAAGATGAGAAGGATGATGAGGCAGACATGCACGCATATATCCCTTTGTTTCTCTCGATGTTGTTTTATTGTACTCCTATGTCTATAGATTTATGTTCAACGGCCTTCGGCCCATCCCACCACCTTGCTTGGCTTGTGGGTCGTAGACCTCTTGGATGTTTGTTGTGATGTCGTGGGATTGCAGGCCGACTCGGAGATTGGAGAGTCTCAGCCCATTATCTGAACGCGCCACGCTAATGGAAGCGAGGCAATGTTGTTTGTTTTGGGTCAAATAGCGGGGCGCCGCTCCGCTAAGTGGAGGCCAGCAATCCTACTCTCTTGGTTCGAAGCCAGGCAGCAGAGTGGAGCTCCGCTAATTGCAGCCAAACAAGCTCTGGACGCATGAATCGAGGCCGATTCGCGGAGCGGCGCCCTGCCAATTGGGGCCAAGCAATTCTTGACAGCAGTTGGTCTGGGTCTCTTAAGTTCAGAACGGACAATTGAGGTTCGGAGGATTGGGCAAAATGACTTTGGGACTTGGGGCACTCAACTTCGCGCGACAGGGGTACGGTGGCGGACATGATATACATACATATGTATGCAGATATATAAAATATGGAATATCCTTATACCAGTATACGTACACGCCCGTCGTTGGAAGTAGGGATTTCTGGATTCCCAGATCCCAATCTTCTTTAGGTGCCTTCATACTTCAATAGTCGTACAGTTTTCCCTCTTCTCTCCTCTTCAGGGGGCGGTTGGAAGTCCAATCCGTTTCCGACGTCTTCCTACTTTATGCTTCTACCCATTTACTCCCACCGATGGGCGTATCTATGTATATAAGTATACATACAAGACTGTAGTGGCGCTTCACGCCATGCACCTTGGTCCTTGAAGCATGGTTTGCAGGCGGAATAGCAGGAAGGTCAAGCCGACAATTTAGCGATAACTCCTTGATGCCTTTTCCGGTGTCGCCGCTATAATAATGTTATTCGTTATCCTTCCTCCATGCTTCTTTGTTCCATTTTCGCCATACCCTGCGCATTCTCCCCATCCTCAGCTCTTTTTTGTTGCGGAGGCTCCTCCTTGGAGAGCCTCTGGGGGCCTCACAAAAGTTGTTTCAGGCTTTGTTAAGGCCTTCTGGAGGCCTCCTGGGCGTATTCTGGGGGCCTCGGGGCTTCCTCGGGCCACCCTGCCTCCAAACGCGGTCTCCCTGAACGACCGGGTCACGATTTGGAATGCTTCGGAGGGTGTCTTGGGGCCATCTTGGGCCGCCATGGAGCTCTCTGAGGGCCATCTTGGACCCGTGTTGTTCTGTTTTTGGGGCTCTCTTGGACTGCCTGGGAGCCCTTTCGGATTGTCGTGTGGCGATTTTGGAGCCTCCCAGGCGGCTTCGGACGCCCAGAGGACCGCCGTCGTGGAGCGATGGGAAACCGAAAAGAGGAGAACTCCAAAATTCACCAAAAACCGTCAGAAAATCAATGATTTGTGCCTCTTGGGGCCTTCTTGGGAGTGCTCTTGGAGGCCTCTTTGGGGCCGTCCTGGAGGCCTTTTGGGCCATCTTGAGGTCACGTCGGTCACTCTTGGAGCGCTCTTGTGCTGTCTTGGGGGTCTCTGGGACGTCTCCGATGACCCCCCTGATCGCCCTAGGTGTGCTGGGAAGGCTTGGCAAAACGCCCCGCGAGGCCGGGGGGGGCGCTTCGAGGCCCGTCTGGAGGGTCCCAAAGCCCCAGATCCCAGGAGTCCGTTTTTTTTTGGGGGGGGTCCTGCCGCCCGGGCTTGTAACAATATAGCAAGAGGAACATATCTTTGTATATAGACATATATATATACATACATATATATATACACATATATAAATATACATCGACATCTATATAGACATCGGGTTGCCCTCATAAGACCATGCGAGTCATATGTACTCATGTTAATGGGCATAACCTCTTTATTCATACTCACCACGTGTGTCTCCATTACGTCTGCGCATCATCCTTGCCCTCATTAGTTAGTCCTGTTCTCTCTCGTCTTCCACCAGTCATCCTCCTCGTCATCCTCCTGACAGGTCCTCGCCATTATTTCCTCCCCATCCATATTCCCCCTTCTCCTCCTCACCCTCTTCCTCACTCCCATCCGCTCCATCATCATGACCATACTCATCATCACCACCAAGATCATCAGCATCATCATAATCAGCACCATCATCAGCTTCATCAGCATCACCATCATCACCAGCATCATCAACATCATGATCTGCATCTCCATCTTCATCATCATCATCATCATCATCATCAGCAGCAGCAGCAGCACCACCAGCATCGTTTCCCTTCGCTTGCACTCCTCCTCCTGTTCCTCCTCCTCCTCCTCACATCCCTCCTCATTCCCCTGCTCCTGAATCCGCATCTTCATTCATTATTCCTCATCTCTTCTCGTCGTTTTTGTCCTTCTCCTCCTGCCCCCCTCCGTTTCCTCCTCCTTCTCGTCCCCCTTACTCTCCCTTTCTCCTCCTCGCCATCCTCATCCTCCCTCCTACTCTCCTTCTCCTCCACTCATCATCCTCCTTCTTCTCCTTCTTCTTCTCCTCCTCCTCCTTTTCTCCTCCTCATCACTCCTTCTCCTCCTCCTTCTTTGCTCTGACTCCACCTGCTGCTCGTGTTCTTCCCCCCCCCCACTCCCAGGAGGAGGAGGAGAAGGACGAGAAGGAGGAGGACGAGTGAGACGATGAGGAACAGGAGGAGCGAAGAGGAGGAGGAGGAGGAGGCGGAGGAGGAGGAGGATCAGGACAATGATGGGGACGAGGAGAAGTGAGGATAATGACGGGGACCGAGAAGAGGGGGCGCGAGGAGAACGCGGAGGATGAGGAGGACGAGGGTGAGGCGGAGGAAGATGACGGCGGGGAGGAACACCAGCAGCAGCAGCCTCAGCAGGAGGAGGAACGGGAGGGGCCGAACCATGATCGGCTAGGAACAGCATGAGGAGCAGCAGGAGAAGGATGATGGGGAGGACGGGGAGCATGATGATGAAGTGTCGGAGAAGGAGGAGGATGAGGAGGACAAGGGTCGCCCTTCTCCTCCGCCGCCTTCTCACCATCCTGCTCCACCGTCCCCTCCCTTCTCGTTCCACCCTTTTGATCCCCCGCCCCCCCGCCCCCCCCCCCCCCCCCCCACCCGCCTTTCACGTCTCTTTCATCCGCCCCCTTCTCCTCCTTCTCCTTCTCTTCCTCCTCCTCCTCCTCCTCCTCCTCCTCATCCTCCTCCTCCCCCTCCCCCTCCTCACGTCGCACTCCTCCTCTTCCTCTTCAAACGGGCGGAAGGAGGGAGGCGAGAAGGCGAGGAAGAGGAGGGGGGTTGGCGAGTAGGGATGGGTGGCGGATGAGGATGAGGACCGTGATTCGGATGACGATTATCATGTTGGTGAGGACGATGTTGCTGATGACGTTGATGATGCTGCGGCTGTTGGTGATGATGATGCTGCTGATGATGAGGATGACGATGATGATGGTGATGAGGATGTCGCCGATGATGCTGCTGATGCTGATGCTGCTAATGCGGGTGACGCTGATGGTGGTGATGATGCTGATGATGGTGATGATCATCATGGCGATGGTGACGATGATGCTGATGATGTTGATGATGTTGCAAATGCTGATGATGGTGTTGATGGTGATCATGCTGATACTGTTAGTGGTGATGGTGATATTGATGATGCTGAGTGGGCGATGACGATGGTGCTGATGACGATGACGATGGCGATGCCACCAATGACGATGCCGATGACGATGCTGGTGATGGTGATGATGCTGTTGATGCTAATGTTGATGACGATGATGCTGCTGATGAGGATGCTGGTGGTGGTGGTGATGATGGTCCATGCTGATGGTGAGAAGGAGGTGGTGGTTGATGGAGGAGGAGGGGTGACCAGTGAGGAGTGAGAATGCGAACGAGTGGGGAGATGAGGTGGATTAGGATGGCGACGATGATGATGATGCTGCTGCTGCTGATGCTGTTGATGAGGATGAGCATGATGCTGATGATGCTGATGGCGAGGTGGAGGAAGAGGAGGATGAGGAGGAGGATGAGTGAGGCGTGGGGAGAAAGGGGTGAGGATAGGGGGCGAGAACGAGGTGGAGGAAGAGAAGGAGGGACGAGGTCCGCCGCCCGCGGTTCTCTGTAGCAGGCTGGAGGGGGACGGGGGACGACGGACGGCGGACGGATTCCTCAGTCATTGAGTGTGCCCGGGTATTTGAGGAAGCAATGTGTATACCGCCGCAGAAGGAATTTCATGGAAGCCCGCAACGAAAGACTTGTGTTGCAAGCCGCCGCGTCAGGAATCCTTATGTCACACCATATAGAAAAAGTTCGCTTGCAAGCCGCCGCACGAGAAATCCCTTTGTTATCCGCCGATTGTACCCCCCCAGAAGGCGAATCCTTTTGCAAGTCGCCGCACAAGAACCGTCTGTATCCCACCACAAGTGAAACCATACTGCCACCAACCACAGCAGGAGTCCGTTTGGAGAGGCGCCATGACAAGGAGTTCTTTGTAACCTTGGCAGGAAGGGCAGAGTGTATTTTGTTGTGTCTTTGTTCTTGTTCCAGCCTTTGAAGGCCGAGTTTGTTTGATTACGTTTTCCTGTGCAGGCTAGATATTTTCATCTGGTTCAGTGTGTTCATGCTTTTCTGTGACCTCGTCCTGGGAAGGGGGGGCGGGTGCCGCGGGAACGAAAGGGCGGAACAGCCTTGAAAGTTGTACACTTCATTGTTGTGTATGTATGTATGTATGTATGTATGGATGGATGGATGGATGGATGGATGTATGTATGTACGTATGTATGTACGTATGTATGATTGTATATACATATATACATATATACATGTATATATATATATATATA